GGGTATAAATAATCCCACCAACACCTGACCACAAAATCCAAGCCGCTAGTGGGCACCGGAGAAGAAGAATCAGACGCCGAAGGAGCCGGCCGCCGCCACCCGCTGCCTCACCGGGGAAGTTTTTGACCACCGATCGAGGTAAATTTTCTCTTCCTAGCTCGTTTTTCGATGCTGAGTCCGTCTATGGCCAAATCGGAGCCAAACCACTGGCCAAACGCCCGAAAAACCCAGCCGAAGCCCAGCGGCGCCGCCGCACCCCCTCTGTTTTTGCCTCCGATGAGGTCCTTTCCGGCCTCCGTTCGATGCAGATTTCATACCACTGTGATCACCGTTCTTTTCTTTACAGGTTAATCGGAGCTAAACATCAAAATGCGACTCACGCCGGAGGAGCCGTCGCACCCGAGAGCACCGCCGCCGGTAAGTTTCAGTTTTTCGTAATTTTTTGGCCCAACGAGAGCCCTAGGGTTGTTTTATCACAGGAACCGATGCAAGTGTGGCCGAATTCGGCCGAAAACGGCCAACCTGAGGCGAATCGCCGCCGCGTCGCTGGAGCACGGCAGAGCCGCCGTGCCGGAATTCCGATATTGGCCGAAAGGGGTCCTAGGTCTGATTTGGAATTTTTTGGAACACGTGCAGGTACCTGTAGTGCGTTTTAGTTTTTCGAAAAAAAATTCAGAAAAATTAGGGACAGCCCGTAAGCGCACTGTAAAGTCGAATTCAGACTCCGAAACAGGTAAGGACCCCTCACCCTATTTCCTATCACGGTATTAAAGCTAAATAAATAATTAAACTGTACTGTGTGACTTTATAGATGTATAATTGATTTAGGTTGCCAATGGGGACCGAGTCTAATACAGTGTTTGTCTGTTATTGTTTGATCTATTTTTCAGTATTAAATGCAGCATGATGTCTGATGTATTTATTTTATGGTCCCGTATGCATGAATCATAGTTTCTTTTATTATGGTTGATATTATGATTAACCCGATACTGTGTTGTCTTATTTGGTGTCAATTACTGGTTTACATGTTGTGTATGATTGGATGATTGAGACCAAGGAAAATGGTAAAAAGGTTATGTGAATTGATAATTGGATAATGTGGACAGCCTGACTAGATATCCTGGGAGATGGTGGACAGACCGGGTCCGTAGGGAACCCTACCGGGAATGTGGTCTCTCATACCGGACGGGGTATGGAGACCTTATGTGTTTTGGCGCCCATAACGGACGGGGTATGGCGACGGCCCGTTTCACCCTCATACCGGACGGGGTATTGAGGTTCATGATTTTGGCGCCCATACTGGACGGGGTATGGGGACGGCCCTGGAATCAGATTGTAAATGTTAATGGTTCACGTGTAGCGGGGACCTCCTATGGATCCCCAAGGATACTAGTAGGCTGGTAAAAGAGAAAATCTGTTTTCTAATGATTGAAATGTAAAGGTATGATATGTGTTATATTATAAAGTGTGTATGATTTCATGATATTATAAGGTTATTATTTTCATATGTTGTTTTCATGGATCTCACCGAGGTAAGTGGACAGTAAAGGTTTTTATGTTAATAAACGAGTTCGTTATAAATTATGCTCCATTGGTTATTTTTGTTTTCTACCCACCTTTACTTCCGTGGCGGTGAGGTAGTGCGATGTCTTTATTGGGTTGGTGTAGCTCATTTCTTATTTAACCATTTCAGATCAGGAAGACATTGTTCCCGAGCTCGTTCTACAGGAAGACGGCGAAGGGGACGCCTAATGACTTCATAGTTATATTTATAGTTCTTATTTCGAGTATCTCTTTTAATTAGTTTATTCCTTCATGTTTTGAGTACGTTTTGGTTATTGTGTAAGAGATGTTAATCAAAATTTTTATTACGCTTCTGCATTTGAAATTTTTAATACATATATTCCATTTAAATTTCCGGGGCCGTTACAGAGTTTTTATTTGTTAAGAACTCTGGTAGTCTCTTTATAAATAGGTTTGCTAATTTATTAGTGATGTACTCTCAAATTACCTATTAGAATTATTTCTTGCCGATCTTACCTGTAAATGTAGGCACACTGTCGAACTACGTAAATTCTTATGTTCTTTTTTTTCTGCTTTTATTTTGGTGTGATTGTGCATGTTTTAGGGATTAATTTTCTCCAACAGTTATTTATTTACATTAGCTCATGTCTAAAATATATATAAATTAATATAATGAAAATGAAATTAATTAAAAATTCTTTAAATTTGTCTATGATTATTAATTAAAATATTGAAAAATATTTTATTCAGATGAGCAAAATATAGTGATATCATTATTTATGAAATTGAACATAGAAAAGCAATTAATTCTTTAGGAAACAATTCAAAGAATGAAATTGTAAAAACACAAAAGGGAATCGGAAGAAAAACCCAAGAGAACAAGAAGGGATTTTTCCCGAGAGAAAATCTATGCTAACACTCTTTTTTTTCCTTCTAGAAAATTATCTACAATCCTATACTAGCATAATTTCCAGGAATATTAATTATGAATTTACAGAAAACAGAGAAGTGATATATGTGAGTTAACCTTATACACTACTGCTATTCAATTGAGATTATAAGTACTATTTATAAAGTAGCTAGGAAAATTACACTTCTTGGGAAGAGAAACATGAGACAGGTGAATGTTGAATATTGTTATGGTGGTCACCCCTCCATGAATCCTCAACTTGTGCTGCAAACTGGAGATTCCAAACAATATCTTCAACAGAAGGCCTATCACCTGCCTTACCATTAACACACCCTATGCATATCTCCATCACTACCTTCAGCGATTCATCCGAGCACTCCTTCACCATTGCTGGATCAATGATACTTCTCCGTGCTGTTGCATCCGCACTCATGCCCACCTGCAACTGAATCAAAATGTGCATACAAGAATTTTGATTGCATATAGGAAAAATTTAGAGAAAGTTTAAAGGCCACATGTTTGTAGAAAGAATAGAAAGTCTTACAAGATCTTTCATCACAACAACTTCATTTTGGGACATGATTGGCCTCCCCACAATGATTTCAAGCAAGATAACTCCTATGTCAAACACATCTTTCTTATCATCATCGTCATCTTTCCCTCTGCAACACCATTTTCTCTTTCATATAAACTTATACATATATAAGATTCTTTATTAGATCCTATTTTATACAAAAATGTAAATGTTTATGTAGATGAGATTAGATTGAAGATTATTAATTTTATGTGGTGAAGGGAAGTTTATTAGTTTGCATCACTTAAATGAACAAACACTCAGGTTAATGACCAAGGAAAGTACTTCAAAGAAGCAGCAATTTACTTCTCAGTTTCACGGTGTATTAAGATCTTGATTCACTTATTGAAGGACTGGAAGTAAAGGTTTCAAGTATGCATTAAACTCACACGGTGAACCTTTCTCGAAGGCTTGTTTTTGGTGCTGCAACTGCCTGCAATTGCAAAGACAACAGTTATTCAAAATAATAATCATAAGCCATGAAAATTAAGGCTTTGTTTTAATCTTTCTCCATACCATTTCTCCATTGCCCGCGAAAAGAGGAAGGTTATAGCTACTGATCTTTACATGTAGATTTTGATCCAACAGAACATCTGTTATCTTCATATTATTTGAAAATACACCTGGCAAAAGCCCTGTATGCAGGAACTGGACACCCTTTGCAACTTCAATTGCAGCAGCTATCCTTTGCTTCCATGAAAATTTTGGTCCTTGGAATCCTCCTCCTGCTGACGATATTGTCTTTAGTATTATGTAGGTGAAATATTTAGTTTATATGCAGGAGGAAAATGTTACCAGATGTCCAGTCTCTTAGTGTCCCATTTGGGACAAACTCAAAAATAAGATATATGTTGCTGACTCCTGAATCATCTGGAAGGCACTCAAAGCAATGTCCAAGTGAACTAACCAAATGGTTGTATCTGAGCTTCGAAATCTTTTCAATATGGCTGGTGTACATGTAAGGATTCCGCTTTTTAATCATTTTCAGTTTTCTGATGACAACTAAACTTCCATCACTTAGCTTTCCTCTGTAGCTCTGATATAATTCCAAATATTGGCGATTAGTTCAAAGCTACGAATTCAGCTAGTGCACTATGAATAACAGAACCAGGATCAGATATCTATTTGTTTCAGCTTAGTTGGCAACTTACGCATGACAAATACCAAGAATGAAAGCAGGAGGAGAAAAGAAAATCAAATTGAGAAAAGTAAGTTTGTGTTTGGGTTTACGGAAATAGATTTATACCTCATGATTTGCACCTTTTCTAAGTAGACTTGAAGCATCGAAGTTTTTTGTAGCCTCTTTAAGCTCTTCTAGAGCAAAGGTTCTATAAGCAGGAAGGCTTGCTCCCAACTTCATTGTCTGTGATATACACCCTGCATATTAAACTATGAGAGGATCTGTGCTAAACTACAGTTGACACAAAAACAATACAGGCTCTCACTTTGTTTCTTTCCTTTACTCTTCATCTAATTAATTAACCAGTTCTTCATGTTTTGTTCAAACAATAGGGATTAGTTAATTTATAGGTACTAAAGTATATTTGTGCTCGAATTTACTAGACTGACTGAATCGAATAGCAGCAAAAATAAACATGGATTTTGATAGAATCTCCCTGTTCAGGTGCAGTTATAGTAACTCCAAGGCACCATGACTTGCAAACTTAGAACTGTTTGATCAAAATAAATAAGATTTTAATATTTACTAAATCAGGGAAATTCATCAGTACCTAGTTATCTTTGGTTATGCACCATCTCTAGTATCTGACATTAACTATTTGTTTAGGACTCTAAAGTACAAAGGAACCGAAGAGGAACACAAACATTGAATATGCCGCGAATGAAGATTAAATTATACAAATAAAAAAGAGAAACTGTATTTTTCTTAATTTTCAGCCACTTTACCATGTAAAGAGAAAGTGAAGTGGAATCTTACTGGCATCAGTGAGCAACTTGGCTGTGTTTATGGCTGACACTTTCTCCAATATTAACCTTGTGGAAGTTACTTTTACACCACCCTTAACATGACTGCAATTCCTCCAAAACTGCTTCCCTCTCTTTTTGACAGCCAAGAAGATTAAACAAACAACTGCAATTACTCCAATAGTCCCTCCCAGCATACTTGATGCAAGAACTGGTTTTCCAGTGCGCTTCCGATCATGAGGCAAAATCTCCACTGCAAGAGCTTCCTTGTGGCAAAAACTAGGAGGATTCTGCTCCTGTTCTTCATTCCATAAACAGTTTTTACCATACACAACATCCATCTTTCCCAAAGAATCAGTTGATTTCAGACAAGATGGCAGCTCCCCGGTGAGAAGATTTGATGATAAATTTATAAAACTGAGTTGAGAATTGCAGGACATGTTTTCAAAGAGCATTCCTGTGAGTTTATTTCCAGAAATATCAAGATGAGTAAGTGAAGGTAGAGAGAACAAAGATGGCAAGAATGGCCCAACAAACCCATTCAAAGAAATATCCAGCTTCTTCAGCTGATAATAAGACCCTAACTCTGATGGAATACCAAACCCAAAGCTGTTATTTCTAATAGAAAGAGTCACCAATTTGTTGTGCAAAATAGGGAAATGAGGTCCAAAACCATTATCATATAAATCAAGAACCTGCAGATTTGTCAAGTTGTGAAGGTCAGGCACTTCTCCTGTTAATCCATTATTTGAAACATCAAGGACTCGGAGATTTTCCAACTTTGTCATGGAATTTGGCAGGGACCCAGCAAGCAAATTGTTTTTCAGACTCAAAACAGCCAAAGAAGGAAGGGAGCTAAGCCAGTCAGGAACTTGACCAGTGAACTCATTGTGGTCAAGAATCAAGGTCTGTAGATTCTTTAAATTAGAAAGCTGATGAGGAATGGGGCCATTGAAGTAGTTTGAACTTACATTGAGTATTTCCAGTGAAGATAAGTTGGCAAGACTTGCAGGCAGTGGGCCTCTGAAACCAAGAGAAGGCAAAGAGAGAACTTTCAAGGTTGAGAGAGAAGCAAGAAGACTAAAGAAAGAATCAGTGGAGAAACTTTCAGGCAGTAACATTTTAGAAACTTCAGAGTCGCCATTATTGCCTGTAATGTGGAGCTGGGTTATATAATCTTCATAGCAAGATAAGATTAGAGATGGGGTTGGTTCCATGCTGCAAAAATCTGTGGTATTGCTTAAATTTGAAGGGAAGTTGAAGAGCTGCTGGATTTGCAGGAGGACCTGGTATTGGGAAGGTTGCAGCTGAGTTGAAGGATGAACAGCAAGGAATAGCATCAGTAAAAGAAGATGATATGAAGAAGATGATGACAGTTTTTCCATTGTAGAATGTAATGCTTTCATATTAACCACACAGATTCTGCATTGGTGAGAAAATGCAGAGGCAATATAACTCAATATAAATGTGCTTTTTCTTCTCTCTGTGCTTTCTCTTTCCCCTTCTTTTCTTTTTAATCTATACTTGATATAGAATTTTTTCTTTGGGGAAGGGGGGGAGGAGGTTTAGACAATTCCATGTAACTACGTCTCTTCTCTTTGTATATATATATATATAGATAGATAGTTAATTTCTTAAACTAAAAAAAGACTAAATTAAGTTTTTTAATTCATTATAATTATTTAATTAAAATAATTTAATCATTACGAAATATTTTTTTAATTATTTAAATTTTTTTAATATATTATAAAAAATTTAATTTATCATAATTATTCAACTAAAAAAATTTAATAATTACAAAATATATATTTTTTATATATTTAACTTGTTCGTCATAATTCTATTAATATATTAATTAATTAAATTATTGATTCGATTAAATATTTTAAATAAATAAATTTATTATTATTAATATATAATATATTTATAAAATAATAAATTTTATATTTTTAATAATATTTATGCTGATCACCTTCAAATAAAGTAGAAAACCATGTAATAGCATGTTAAGTTTAACTTTGGTTCCTATTAGTTTACATTATGAAAACATGTAAGCATTGTAGTAAAAAGGGAAGAAAATTTATACATTATATTTTATAACTAAATTTAAAATTTTAATATTACTAAATTTTATTTCATATCAAAATTTTACTGTAAAAGTGCAAATGAAGATAATATCAGACAAATAAAGAAATTGAAATTTCATTCTTTTTTTAAAAAATAATTATTAGCAAATTAATTTAATGAGTAGAATTTTTTAAACTTAAAATTAAAACACTTGAAAGCTACAATTAATTATAAGAGTCAGATTTATATTTGTCTTTAGGCAAGAAACAAGAATTTGATGCCAAAGTAAAAAGAGGCAGACAGGTTCTCGTAATTCTAACAATTTTGTACCATCCATCGTATGTTTATATATATATATATATATATAATCTGGAGTGGTGGGTCCAAACACTTTTCCCAAAAATAATAATAAAAATAATTTTGTAAAAAGAAAAAAAGAACAATAGCAAAATCACAGCATATATAATCATCTACATCTATATATAGTTCATAAGTTATATGTATAGGCTAATCAAACTAGTGCTGGTTACCATGAGTAATATCATTTTTTGCAAAATGATATATTAGTAAAGGATAAGATGTAACATTCACGCTCAGAAAATTTAGTTCGGAATAGATTTTTAAATTAATAAAATATATATATAATTTTATTATATTTTATTTTAATTTTTTAGTAATTTTGAAAAAAAAAATAGAATTATTGATAAAATTAAAAATAATTCTAAAAAAAATAGATAAAATTGTGAATAAATGGAGTGTTTTGAAAAAAAATTTGAAAATATATGATAAAATCGCAAAACATAGGGAGGCCACGCGGGCGATCCGATGGTTCAGATTGCATCTTGCGAGTATGAACGGCTTAGATGCATTCTCTCTTCAAACGTAATCAGATAGATAGGATTGATTACGATAGACGGTCCAGATTCGCTCATGCAATTGATCTAAACAAAAAATTATTGGACAGCTCTCGTTGCTTCACGTCGACTCGAACAGACGGCCGAGATCGGATGGAGAAGGGTATTTAAGCTCCTATTCGAAGGGAATCGTAACCCTAGTAGATAGAGGAGCGACCGGCGAGGAAGAAGGAGGGCAACCAAGAAAAGAATCAGACGCCGGTGAATGAGGCCAACCATCGTCGCCATCGTACCGAAGCCACCATCGACGCAAAAACATGTATTTTTATTTTTTCCGGCCAACCGAGACCTCCTAACTTATTTTTTCATAGAGTTACGTGCAAAACTAGCTAAAACCGACTAGACCGAGGCGAACCGCCGCCGTGCCAGGACCCTAAAATTGGCTGTAAAGGTTTTTAAATGTCTATTTTGGCCTTTTAAGATTTTTTTGGATACGTGACGGGTGTTTTAATTTTCGTATAAAAAATTTAGGAAACTCGGAGACTGTCAAGACTCGCAATGTAAAGTACGGTATTTTAGATACCGATCTGAAGTAAGAATCTCTCACCATTTTCTATGTTACGATAAATTAAAGTTGATAATCAATAACATCGTGTTTTATAAAAATTATAGAACCCTAAAATTAATTACAGGTCACTAGTGGAGGTAGAACCGATCAGTGCATATTTGTCCTACTTTACTGTTTATTTTCTCATGTACTACCCTAAATGCTTACTATTATATTGTGTGCGTTAAATTACTAGTTTTTATTGCTTTCTTAGTTATTTAGTTTACCTAATTGCATAGCCTTAATTGTTAGTTCGTTTTGCAATAAATATCTCAATTATGTTGCTTTGATTTACGTACTGTCTCTTTGCATGACTTACTGTTAATTTGTAAATATGAGATGTTGATATGTAATTGAGGATTAGTTGTGAATCTATGTATGAAATGCTAATTGGGTACCCTAGAAAAGGGTGAACGGACCTGGTACATGTGGAGAAATCCTACCGTAAACGTTATCTCAATCAGATGGGGCTGAGAAGTCCCATACCGGAAGAGTTTGGGAGATATGGTATACCTCATAGCGGATGGGGTATTGAGGCATTGGTATGTTTAGCGTTCATTACTGAACGAAGTATGAGGACGACTGGTTAATTGAAAAATTTGGATATTGGGTTCACGCGTAGGGGGAGCATTCTTATGGACCCTAGAGGCACTGGTAAGTAGGTAAAATAGGTAAGTTACTATTCTTAATCACTTAAATATGAAACCACAATGTTATTTGAGTTATTATCTTCATAAGTCGATTTTTAGAACTCATAAAGGTAAGTATGGAATAAATAATTTTATGTTAAATGAATTTGAATTTACCTAAATTAATGACTTCATTAGTTATTTTATAATTTTTACCAACCTTCTATTTTCCATATCAGTGATTAGTGTGATATTCTTACTGGGTTAGTGTAGTTCATCCTTCTATTTAATCATTTAGATCAAAATACCAGGATTTAGATCATGAACAAAAGGAGAGTTGCGAGCAAAGATTACCTCCCGGACCCCATCAAAGTTGTCAGTGGAGGTTAACCCCATAAGATTTAAATTTCTTTACTTTCAATCATTTATTCTATTCGCTTCCACCATTACAATATATATTCTTTTCCTTAAGGTTTTGGCTCTTTACATAAAAAAAAATAAAATAAAATAAGATCAATTTCAGTTATTCTATATTTTATTTTCAATTAAAATTTTTAGTTTTGTTTTTATATGAGAATGAATATTTTAATTTTAATTTTTAAATAACTCATATGGGTTGTTCATTTTTTGTTTAATTTTTAAATTTAACTTGCATATTAACTTTAATATTCATAATTAAAATTTTTTTTAGTATGGAAATTTTTAAATCATGGTCTTTATTAATATTGTGGTTATTTCAACTATAGAAAATTAATTATCACATAATGTTCTTTTAAACGAGCGGTTCTATCAACAAATAATGAGTTAGGCTCTCAACTTTTTTTATAATAAGTTTATAACCAGTATCTCAAAACATATTTATAAAGTGGCGCGATATGTATTTTCAGTCAAATTCGAACTCTTGATCGTTAGTGGTTATAATTAGAATATACTTTAACGGTATTGTTTATATCCACTTTATATTATCTTAAATTTTGCAAATGGCATCTTAGCACTTTAACAATATAATTATGAGTAAATCAACATATTTGTTTAAAAAATAAATTTAATTCCAGAAAATTTATGAAATAATCTTATTCATATAATTAAAAATATATTAATGTGAAAATTTAAAATAAGAATTGATAAGAAATTAAATGACAAATAAATTCAGCATGATTCAATTCAAGAATATATGTGCACTAAAAAATTAGGTTGTGATTACCTATATCAAGGCTAATCTTAGGATTAAGCTTCAATACGATTCCCCTCAATTAATTCCATAAATTTGATTTATTGACATATTTTGAATAAAACGAGATATAAAAATTGAAAAATACATTTTAACTGAATATTATAGACATACATAATAAATTCTTTTCTTTAATAATCACTAATAACATATAAGACTTTGGAATAAAAAATTGAACATAAATTTAAGATACCAAATACAAATTCTTATTATATTAAATGTATGACAAAAAACACACAAAATTATAAGTATAATTTTACATAATAATATGTAGTTATATATAATCAAACATCATACCAGTGTATATTCATTTGATCCCATTCATCGCCATCGAAACTCCTATTGCCTTCCAATTAGCTTTTGAGGCATCAACAATATTATTAGGACAAGGAGGTTTGTAATCATGTTGATCATCACAGCCCATAGTAGAGTCGCACTCGTCGACCACCTTGGCCCTAACACTTTTTCCATTACCGTGAATGTTTATATATTTTAAGCACCTATTTCCTTTATTATACCATCATGTTGAAAGAGCAACCACTGGTTCATCGTCTGAGTGATATTTATTATCACATTCAGATGGGCCATCACCATCACTACCTTCTGCAAAGCTGTTGATTATTAAAGTTGCTTTTGTATTTGTTGAGACTGGTGGTGAGCACTAGTAAGTAGTATAAAACTTGCCTTCTTTGCAACAATCAGAATCATTCCCTTGATTACATTCTCCTAGTGGTGGCTTTTTCCCTCTCAATCTTCCATTTGGCCAACATTTTTTAGTTTCAACTCTCAAACAATGAGCAATTATAAGAAAAAAGTAAATGACAAATACAAATTTAGAGTAAGCTGATAGCTTCCCTGCCATTCTCTATTTTTGTTAGGCTAATTATTTGAAATTGTGATCTAATGGTTTTGTATAAAGCTTGATGGTAATGGTGGCTATATATATATATCTACACACTCGTGCATGCTACTATAAATCAATATATTAATTTTTTAAATCTTATCATCTTCTTATTTTCTTTTTCTCTGTTAATTATAAACTCATTACTTTTCTTTTAGACGGCTACTACAATAAGAATTGATGAGTTCAATATATTTTGTGTGTATTGATGTTAGAAAATAAATTTCTTGGTTAGTTCTGTTATGACAGTTAGATATTGTTGAATTTG